TTACAAAACTTCTAGTAAAATTGAATGCCTCGATGAGATAAACTCAACAACATAAAAATCAGTCCAATCCAAGCCCAATGGGCCCAAATCGATGACTTTATACATATTTGGAAGCTTCAGAATATTAATTAGGTGATAAAATGATATCCAAATATAATGTGCTTATGATCAAATATAATGGCTCAATAAGATGAATCCAACAAACTTAAGATTACTTAATTCTAATATCATTAAGGCACTTAAATGCTTGACAAATACTTTATGATTGAAGAAATCAATATGGATTATCTGATGGAGCACTCCAAAATTTTCATGGAAAATCTCCATATTTATGGAGTATGCCATTCTCAGAATGTATAAATGACCACCATATCACTGCATGAAGGGGAACCTTTAGGGCTTAAATATTTGCCTAGAGATTCAAGATAGCTATAAGGAATGGATCTTGAAACACCATCATTGACAATCCTCACCGTGTGGTCACTGTTACCCAATGTCCAATCGATTGATGTCGTAAGAACTTAGCCAGCCTGTGGTTGAAGAACCCATTAGACCTCTACTTGGCCATCACCATCGAACCTCCATCCAACCTCCACCATCGAATCTTTGCTCTAATTTCTATTGTCTTCCAACTAAGATCTTTATACTATAATATCTCACTGATTATGGTCCTCAAATCATCATCGCCCAACTATGATCCCTCTGACCTCCATTGTCTAACTTGACCACTTTGACCTCTATCACATAATTATAATCCCTCTGACCTTCATCCCCTATTGAGTACGATTCTCATATTACCTTGACTCGACTACCATTCCTTCAACCATCATCACTTAACTACAGTTCTTCTAACTATAGTCCTCAGACCACAAATTTTTTGTTATAATTCCTATGACCTCTATCACCCATTGATTGTGGCCCTCTAGACCTTTATTGCCCTCTAATTATGGTCTCTCTAACCTTCATTACCTTACTATTATAGTCCCATCAGCCAATGTCTCCTAATTATCGTCCCTTTCTCCAATATCGCTTGACTACAGTCCCTTCAACCATTATCGTCGACTATAGTCTCTTTAATAATCCTCACCCGAATACAGCTCAATCAATTGTCGTCACTCACCGACTACAGTCCTTCTGATCTTTGTCATCAGATTTTAATTGGTCCCTCTAACCTTCATCGCCCATCGATTATGATCCAAATGAATTGACAAATGTTTTATTTCGAATAACTCTCAAGTCATTGGATTCTTCTAACTCCAAATTTATAACGCGCTCTATATGATGTATATTTGCTACATTGAGTCAATACCTTCCCCCACAGAAAGAAATCCTTTGTGATTAATGATAGATACTAATGTAATCATTTTAACTAGTCTAGACCCCCAATGATTGCTACACCACTCTCGTGTTGGATTTTCATACACAATTAGGATGTTAAACTCTATATTTCTCTAATGCCTAGAAAATGCTGACGCACAATTGGTGGCATGCGAGGAGAAGAGGATTTTATGATGGAAGTTCTTTCTCTTGTTAAACAATGTCACAAATTAATTTGTTAAATTAAAAAAAAATTAAAAAGGTAAGTTAAATTATGCAAGAACTATATAAATTCAAAAGTTGCTCAGTTTAGACATATATAAATTTTAATTTTGGCTCTATTTATGAGATCATAAATTTATATCTTATAGATAAGATTATATATATGAATTCACAATCCAATAAACTCAAAATTTTAAAAATATATAAATTTGAGCAAAAAATTTTTGTATTACATGCAATTTCATAGAAATTCATCAATTATAATAATTAGCAACACTTAAAAAATCAGACCAGACTAACCAATCTGACCGGTTCAATTATGAACCGGTCTAAAGGCCGGTCCGGTCCAACCTAAAAACTTGCTTTGTTTCAAACTGGCCGGTTTTAGCAAGAACTGCCATGTGAACCATTGATCCGGTCTCAATTTTTAAAAACAGACAAGTTCAGGTTTTTAAATATAAATAATTAAACAACTTATTTAATATTAAATAAATATTAAATTTAATCAATTAATATAAATATTTATATAAAAATCTTAAATTTATATTAAATGCATGATTAAGTATTAATTAATTTAAATCCTCTCATAGGTCTTTATTATTCCATATGAGCTCCTATCATAAGTGAAAGCAAAAAGCTATAAAAACTATACAAAAGCAAAACTTCACAAGTAATGTGGGACTCTTTAACTAGTGTTTGTAGAACCCTAACCCTTTCAAAAGATAATTAAACCAACCTGGAGGCCCACCATCACCATCTTACCTTTCATATTGTTATAAATACACTTAAGATAACTTATCACTAAGGTTGTGAAAATTGGGCTAAACAATAAACTAGAAGAATGAGAGGTTCATGGTTTGACAATCTAACCTTAAAAACTTCATCATTCTAAGAATTTTGAGATTAAAAAATAAATAAAATTTATACATAAATAATATATTCCAGAATTTCAAATTTAAATATAAATAATTATTAATTTACGTTATATATTTAAATATAAATAATTACTAAATTTAAATTTAAATATAAATATCTTCAATCTTCAATTTTAATTTATATTTAACAAATATTTAGTTTATATATAAATAATTACTAATTTATGTTATATATTTCGGTATAATTTTACATCTATAAATTATATATAAATTTCACATTATAAAACTAGATTTATAAAGTCATATAATATTATTTTTTTTTCTTGTTAATATCATTTAATTTCATATTTAGAGAGAAAATTTAAAACTTTAAAAATTATTAGTATCTATTTTTTGTTTGAATAATTATAAATATACAAATAATTTTATATTTAAGAATTTTAAAATTATTACAATTATTTTAATTTGAATAATTTTATGGGACCAAGTTATGGAGCGTAGGTTACGACATGATACTAATGTTTCTCAAAATCAATTTAGATTCATGCCGGGTAGGTCTATTGTTGAAGTTATACATTTATTGAGAGATTTGATGGAAAACTATAGAGAGAATAAAGAGGATCTACATATGATATTTATTGATTTAGATAAAGCATATGATAAAGTTCAAAGAAGTGCTATGGAGAGTTCTTGAAAAGAAAGGAGTTAATAATGCTTATATTAAAATCATTAAAGATACGTATACAGGAGCTATTACTTTGTGTTCAAACACAAGGTTGTTTGATCAAGTATTTTCCTATTTCGGTTGGATTACATCAAGGATCAACCTTAAGCCCATATCGTTTTGCTTTATTGATGGATGTTCTCACTAGACATTTACAAGAGGATGTACCTTGGTGTATGCTTTTGGCTGATGATATTCTTCTTGTTGATAAGACTAAAGAGAGTTGAAGATAAACTTGAATTATGGAGGCCAACCTTAGAGTCCAAAGATTTTAGCTTGAGTAGATCTAAAACTGAATATATAAAGTGTAATTTTAGTAGCAATAGACCTAGTGATGGGATTGTAACTTTGGGCGATGAAGTCATTAATAAGAGTACACGTTTTAGATATCTTGGATATATTGTTTAGAGTGATGGTGAAATAGATGGGGATAATATCAACAGAATTCAAGTTGGATAGTTGAAGTTGATGAAAGCAGCGGGCTTGTTGTGCGATAGAAAATGCCCCATCAAACTTAAGGGAAAATTCTATAAGATGACGATGAGACCTATAATGCTTTATGGTGCCTAATGTTGGTCATTAAAAGGGAAGCATAATACTAAGTTAATTGTTGCAGAGTTGTGGATACTTAGGCAGATGAGTAGCTTTACCCTTAGAGATAGGATACAAAATGAGCATATACGTGAAAAGGTTGGAGTAGCTCCAGTGGAAGATAAGATTAGAGAGAGTCGCCTTAGATGGTCTGGTCACATTAAAAGGAAGCCTTCCAAAGACCCGTTTAGGAAAGTTGAGGTCTTAGATTGGTCTTATATTAAGAAAGGTAGAGGTAGACCTAAAATGAATTGGTTAGAAAATATTAGAAATGATCTTTCTTGGTTAGATTTAGCTGAGTATTTGACTTTTAATAGGGCACAGTGGCAAAAAAGGATTCATGTAGCTGACGTCCCCACGTAGTGGGGCAAATGCTTGTTCTTGTTGTTGTATTTTTATTTGAATATTTTATACAAATTTTTCCAACAAATTCTTATAGAAGTATCCATCATGCATACATCGTTGAAACTAGAAACTACTAGTTATTTAGTCCCACATAACTTATGAGCTTTATGTTTTGTTGGTTATATATCTTTTCTTATATGCATGAGTTAAAAGACCTCATGGGGTGAAGGAATCATGTTGGTATGAAGACTTTGTATTTAATGTATAATATAAAAGAATATTTAAAAATTTTAAGAAATATATATTATATTTAAGTTATTTTAATATTAACAAATATTTTATATTAAATTAAATTATTTAAATATATTATTAATTGAATCAAGTGGGTTAAATGGTCGGGCCGGTTGAACATGTGGTTCAAACTGATTTTCACCGGTTTGATGCTAGACCGATTGTTGAAGAGGACCGAACCGGCCTTAGGATCGATTCACAGTTGAATTGGTCGAACCGGACGGTCCGATCTGATTTTCAAAACCATGATAAAAAAATTTTTATGTTACCAATTGAAATATAAAAATGAAATACTTTATATTAAAATATTTAATTATACTTATAATTTTATATTGTGAGTTTTTAAATAGTTTATATTTATAAATTAAATCTATGTAATATAAATTAAATCTATAAGATTTAATAAATTATATGTTTATTATATTTCATTATTTTTTTAAAATTTTTTATAATAATAATATTATTTATTATGTTATCTAATTCCACCTAAATATCTCCTTCCGATTTTTTTATGCAATCCGATTTTTGAAACCTGTTCTAAATCTTATTACCTTTTACGCTCGCCTAGAAAGAGACGAAAATTTGGTATTTAAATATTTCAAAAATTTCACTCTGTGGTTGACCGCTAAGAAACTTGCAGCTTCATCTCCAGCTAAAGGACACGAAGACTCTCTAACCCAAATCCCAGTTTTCATTCCCTCTCTCCCTCTCTCCCTCTCTTCGACTCTCCCTCTCTCTTGGTCTCGGACTCGTGCTTTTTCACAGGCGGCTAGCTTGCTTCCATAGCTCCTTCACGGTTTCCTATAACTCCGAAAGGAAGAAAATTTTACCAAGAAAGGCTTGTGAGGCGGAATCAGCAGTGTGGTCATTTGCTTTACAAGCGAGGCGACCCCCACACCGCTCTCCTCTATCTAGGGTTTTCCATCGTAATCCGTACTCTTCTTGCCGCCTCCGCTGTTTTCTCTCTTCTCTACGTCTGCTGTTTTGCGCATGAAAGTTTATAAAGGGGCGACGAGGGGTTTTCTTCTTCTTTTGGACACCGGCATTGGTGTTTACGTCGATAGGCTGGAGCGATGAGCTTGGCCATCGTAGAGAAGCGGCCGCAGCGGCGTCCTGGAGGCTGCGCTGGTATCTTCTTCCAGCTCTTAGATTGGAACCGGAGGCTCGCGAAGAAGAAACTCTTCTCTAGGAAGCTTCTTCCACCAGGTATTTTGCCTTTCTTACCCGTTTTACATTTTTAGCGAAAGTAGATATTTGGTTTGTCTCATTCTTCTCGCTGATGCCGTCTCCTTTAGTTTCAGTTCGCACCACGAAAAGGCCGATGAAGAAGTTCGGCGGCGATGAGAAGTTGCCCAAGGCGAAGCTTATGCTTGTTAAGTGTTTCCTTTTTTCCTTTAATTTTGGCAATGTGGTTGTTATGCTCTATTCTTCTTACCCGTTTATGAAATCTCAATCTCTTCTAGATCGCTGATGAGAACCTTGGAGGTTTTCCCAGTGCGAAGAAGGCAGATTCTGATGGGAGTCCAGGGAATGCCATGCAAGCCCCTGGATTGGTTGCCCGGCTTATGGGATTGGAGTCTATACCTGCTATAGAACAGGAAAAGCCCAGGAAAGCTTTAGATTCTGAGTATTATTATGACCGCGATAAGAGTGGGGAGTACTCTCGGCTTGATCAGGACTTGTGTCATGAGGTTGCAGGGCAGAGGAAACTCGATTCTTCTAGGCCGCAAAAGTTGCAGAAGACCGGAGGATTCTTGGAGCGGCGCCCGGCCAACGCTGCAAGATTTAGTCCTGATGCTACCCACAGAAGTGTTGTTGCTCGCTCCAGGAAGGAACATCATAAACTAGCTTCCCCAGTGAAGAGTCCTAGGTTGCTTTCAAGGGGAAATAAAGCTCGGTTAATGCAAGCCGCAACTAAGATTTTGGAGCCTGGTCCGCAGGCTCATAGTAGAAGTAGACGTGCCATTACTTGTAATGGAGTTTCGGAATCAGAATGCGTAGGATCTGAATCTGCTATTGCATTGAGATCTAAAGAGCCTCAAAATGATTCTTTAATTGGGTCCTGCAGGAGCTGTGGTAAAATAGTTGAGTTCTCGCAGTTGAGGTTTGGTGTTGAGGACAACAAGTTTCATAATGGAGCCACTTTGTTTGCTGCTCAGGCGAAGTTTGATACTTTTGGCAAGGCCAGATTTTCAATGGAGAGGAAACACCAAGTAGCAAGTGATCAAGCTAAATGCAAACCTCCACAAGAGGCCAATCCAAAGGTTTCCACTAAAAGTAAAACATTGAGGAGGACTGAATTGCCAATGGGCGGGGACATCATTGTTCCTGGATCTAAATTGTGTAGTAGAAGACAGATTGAGGGTGATACTACTGAATTCATGGGGTCCAAGCACTTTGTAGGTGTTAAAAAGAATCTAAATTCTTCTCCTCGTTTGAAATCTCCCTCGAAGGTATCTAGTTGCAATGGAGCAAGTAGAGAGGGAAATGCTTGGGAAAAGAGTGTGGCACGTAAGAGAAGATCGAGCAGTAACTTGCAGACAGATAATAAAACTGCATCAAATCCCAGCTTCATGAAGCAAAAAGGTGCTCAGAGTGGCCTAATTAATAAAAAAGAATCAGGATTGATTTGTGATCAAGCTATTAATAGGAACCGTGCAAAATATGGACCACAGAACAGGGTTAATGTTGAAACTTCATGCAGCGGAGATGCAGGTATTGTCTCTTTCACCTTTAGCTCACCAATGAAACATACTACCCTGTCCTTCATGAGGAAAGCCACTTCTGGAAAAATTGGGGATCAAATGCAACAAAAAGATGATACTTTTAAACCTAAAATGATGTTGTCCAATGCCAATAAGGATATCTTACCTTCCCCTACAGGAAAGTGTAGTGTGAGGGGAGATGAGCTGAGTAATCTTCTCAAAGAGAAGATCAGGGAGCTCAATTCATTAGACCAAGATGAGGTGGGAATTAGGGATACTTCTGGAAGATCCACTGCTTCCATTCTTGAAGAATTAATTTCAGCTCTTACTGCTGGAGAATCTGTAGCTCAAATTATCCATAATGATGCAAAGTCAGAGTTTTCTACTCCAGAAGATAACTTTATTGACAGTTTTGGGATGCTTTCCAATAAAACTGCTGATGAAAATACAAAATTTGACATCAATCAAAAGTTTCAGGTCTGTTATGTTACTTATGGATAATCTGAGTTTCCAATAAAGCTGTTAGTCCGAGTTTTCATTCAACTTTTGTTTATGCTACTTATGTTGCTTTACAGCTTCCTATTAAAGTAGTCCGTACAATCGATTGATATTGGCTTTCCCATTGCAATGCTCCCATATACCAAAAATGTCTTTTCTTTTGTTGCCTGTTAATTATCATTTGTGCATTCTCTCCTACATCATCCAAATATAAATTAACTTTTTGTGTTGCAATTCCTTACAAATTATTATGTTCATTTGTATATCAGGACAGGAGAATTTGTTATCAATAAGTTTTATGACACATAATTATTGTAAGTGTGGTTATGCAATTTCTTCATGGTGATTGTGTGATTTAATGATAATTTGAACTTAATATTATCATAATTTGATTTAGATTTTTTTTATCTTCATTTCTATTTCATCCTATTTAATCAAGATTTCTCTCTCCTCTCTAACTTTAGTTATTTGATACATACACGATCTTTACTCATGTAATATTAAGTAGATTATATTAATATTAAAAAATATAGTTTTTATTCTATTATCTTTTTTAAGATTTATGCCTGTTTGTAGTCTTTATCAGCCTCAATAGTATTTATCAAGGTTGTGAAAATCGGACCGGATATCAAAACATAAAAATGAAAGGTTCAAAATTCAATGGTTGAATCAGATGATGTTATTGTTGCAACTCGGGCTTTCAAATTTATGATTTTGATGATAATAAATAATATTGATTAATCATTTATTTCTCCTAGTGTTTGTAGATATTTATTTGTGTTGACTAATATTTTAGGTACATCATGCACCGTTCTTTGAAGATTCAAGGCTCAAGATTGTGTAGAATTGATTATATTAAATGAGTATGTAATTTTCATTTCTTGAGTCAAGTCTTGTAATGATGTATGTTAGATTGGTGATCGTGCACATATAGGAGCAAAAAATGATTTTAAATATTTTAATTTTTCTGTACATCATGCTGTACGATCTGGGTCGTACTATACGATCTGGGTCGTACTATACGATATGGATCGTACTGTACGATCTGGTGTAACAGAAATTATTTAAAATATTTTATTTTCCTGAAATTTTTTATTTAAAATATAACTAATCGTACAGTACGAACACTATGTCGTACTGGATTTGTTATAATTAGAAAGCCCCATCTGTCCATTAAATTAGGCAAAAATTTGAATTTGAAAGTTGTTCTAATCGTACTGTACGAATATGATCATAATGTATGATGTTTAAAATATTGCCTAAGTTTATCCTGTAATTAGTCATTCAAAACGGCCTAATTTTGATATTTTGATCATACTGTATGAATCGTACTATACGAATCATACGGTATAAACTAGATTGTACTGTACGATCAACAGAGACGATTTTGGCCGTCCCATGCTTCATCCGGGATGAACTGCATTTTTATTGAAATGTTCGTACAGTACTAACTGGACATTGTACAACACGAACATGCAAATTGAACTGTTCGTAGTTCGTACAGTACTAACATGTCAAATTCTGCATATCATACTTGACGATCCTGTGATTGTACTGTACGATCTTTGATGGCTAAAATAATTTTTTAGGATTTTTTTGAAGCCCTCTATTTAAGCTTTATCATAAGACTTTGTAAGAGTCTTTGACAGCCATTGAAGCTTCATTTTTCTAAAGAAAACTTGAAGAGAGAACTTGAAAGGGAGAGGGAAATGATCGAGTTTGAGAGAGGGAGAAGATCCTTGGAGGGGATTTCAAGGGAGTGTGGAGAGGATTTCACATGATTGTTCCGGCAAGCTTGCACCTCAATACCATCAGATTCAAGGTTCGTCTTGAGGGAAGTTTTGGAAAGAAGAATATTTTTTTGGTGTCAAAAGACCCGACTCATCCGCCGCATCGGAAAAGGTGTAAGTGATTTTGTAAGGGCTTCTCCTCCTAGCTGTGGGGGCTAAAAGAGAGTCACTAAAGGTTTAGTGCAACAGTCGGAGGGTGTCTCCGGGGAGTGGATGTAGGTCAAGGTTTGACCGAACCACTATAAACCTTATGGTGTGCTTTTTCCGTTTACTGCACTTTATTTATGTTTTGCATCTTATATTTGTTATAACCGCTTGATGAAAATTATATTCTAGATCTTTGTTGTGTGATTTAAAATTTCACCACTTATGTTGCAATCATGTTTTAATCATTCGCTTATGCATCAAGTAAAGTTTTGTTTAAAAAATAAAAAAAATTAATTAGAACTCGTGTTTAGGTTTGTTTCTTTATTTCAAAAATTTTCAATTCACCCCCTCTTGTCGTATCTCGTACTTTCAGTTATTAATATTATAATTATTCAAATACAAAATAAAAAAAATAAAAAATATAATAATGTAGAATAATCATATAATGATATAAATTTGTGGCTAAAAATAAATTTAGTTTATATACAAACTTATACATTTAATATAAATTATTACAAATTTATGTTAAATTTAATGTAAATTATCATAAATTATTATTAATTTATATATTATATTTAGATATATTTTACAACCAGAAATTATATATTAAATTCACATTATATTTTTACGCCTATAAATCATTTATGTTATATTATTTATAATTAATACATAGATAAAATTTAATTTTTAATAATGCATATTTTAAAAATTAAAAATAAAATAGATAAATAATTAAGATAATTAATCAACAAAATAAATATTATTCTCATTGTTAAAAATAATTAAAAATTTGCTTAAAAATATATAATATATGCGCTTTGAAGTAGAAATTCAAGTTTCAACTAAGTTATTTAGTCTCGCATCACTTGGAAGCTTTGTTTTATTTTGTTTATATAGTTTTTTTTTCTTATCATATGTTAATAGCACACATGGGATGGTGGGATCATGTGGGCATGTTGTGTTGGTGCTTATATTGTAAATATTTATTATAAAAATTTAGGCTTATTATTAAATTTAAACATGTTATGTTTAAGTTAATATTTAATTATTCAAGTAAGAGATCAATTGAATTAGCTGATACTTAAAAATCAGGACCGGTTCAACGGTTGACCGGTTGAACTGTCACACCGGTTTGATGTTGGGCCGGTTTTTAAGGAGAATCGATTAGGCCATGTGACTGATTCACGTTCGAACAGGTCGGTCGTTCCGGTCTGTTTATCTTGATCTATTATTTGATTTTGTATGGCTGAATCTTCTATTTAAAGAATGCATTATTTTGATTTTCTAGCTCCTCTTTTAGAAGAAAGTATTTTTTTGGTTTCTTAAAGTATAAGTTCACTATTGCAATAGTATTAACTATTAATAAATCAATTATAAGTTTTTATATCACACCTTTATCTCATATTACATATCATCAATGAATTCTCTTGAACCCATGCATCCTATTAAAACTTTTTTGTTTCTGTTGAAATTACTCACAATAAATATAATCTATTATGAAATATGCATTGTAATAGTTTATCCTTCTGTTCTAAAGATTAATTTTTTCCTATTTTTTTAGTTCCAACTTGAAAAGCATAAGCACTAATCATATTTATCCTCATCAATAAATAACTTAATACTAATTATTCTATCATCAATCCCATTCGCCTCAATAATTTGATCTTTCAATTCTCTATCAACGATTTACTTAATTTTATTTTTAATATTGAGAAAGTCGCTTTAGATGGTTTGGTCATGTAAAATAGCGGCCTTCAGATGATCCTATTAGGAGAGCAGATGTATTAGATTTGACCTATGTTAAAAAAGTTAGAGGTAGATCTAAAAAGACTTGGTTAGAAAATATTAGAGATGTCCTATCTTTATTAGATTTAAATGAGAATTTGAATCTTAACATAACATAATGAAAAAAAAGGATTCATGTATCCGACCCCACGTAGTGGGATAAAGGCTTGATGTTATTGTTTTTGATAACTTTTATCTTTCTTCGACCTTCTTGATTACTTTCACCTTGTGTTTAATAGCTTAATTGAACCCTTAATTTTTATTTGGATCTGTTGTCTATGTAAATTAGCAATGATTTTCTTAATAAGAAATACCCTAATTATGTATCCCTCTTTGCCACAAATTTAATATTTACAATTATTCCTTGTGTAGAGAATTATTATGCATGCCCATTTGTATCACAAGGACTCATAATCAATTTGAAATGGTAATGAAGGAAAAAAAAAAAAAAAAAAAAAAAAAAAAAAAAAAAAAAGAATAAGAGTTGTGAGTACTCTGGTCAATAATTTTGGAATTGGTAAGTGTCAAGGTTGTCAATGCGCATAGTGCTATGTACTTGATGCACTTTAGTTAGGTTGATATAGGCTGTATTAAGTTTAGTGTGTGGGAGAGAAAACTTTGAAGAGATTTTTTTCTTTACAGTATTATTCAAGAACGTAGCAATGGTTTAAGCATAACCCAAGGGCATGCTTGATCCTTACACATTATTGATGCGATCTTTTTTTTCTTCCTCCTACATAGTTTTCTTCTTAGGGCAATTATATAGCTTAGCATTGTCAAGTACTTCCCCATACTCTTGCTTGCTCTATCGGCTTCTCATTGACTTCACCCAAATTTCCAATTGCAATGATAGTCTTCATTAAAAGAAATGTTCCTCTTGCAACTTATTTAACTATTGTTTCCTATGCTTCATCACATTTAATCGATTTTATATGATCGTGAGACTTGTTTTTGGGTTCTTTTTATTATCTATTTTATTTTTTGAGGCTTGTCATTAGAATCATGGTTAATGCTATGGTACATAGGCTTTATTGATTTATATGTGCCCCATGGATAAGTAAATACCAGTGGTTCTTCATCTAGTGGGTGTGTCCCATGATTATATCGACTTGGACTTGTGATTTTTTAGTAATTGACTGGTAATAGGATATTTGATGGACAACTCTTATTTTATTTCTATTGTTACTATTTGTTAATCCAAGGGAACCTTTAACTATATAAGAAGGGGCTTTAAAGAAAGCTAAAAAATATTCTAGC